ATAAAGAATTAAAATTATTGATTTCCGTCGATACGTTGAGGAGATATATATACCACTTTTAAGTTACGGTTGGAGGAGAGTAGTGGAGTATCATTTGTGTCGCGGTACGGCGCACGGCGTGTGAATAATGTACCACTACTCTCCTCCAACCTGAACCTAAAAGTGGAATATCTCGTACACAGTTTGACAGAAATTAAAAATTTCAACACTAAAATTTATTTTAACAAATAATCCATCTATTTATGAAACTTTTAATATAGGTTGCCATTTGAAAATAAAAAATAGGTAGGTAGTGGTTTTACCCCTAAAAAATAACATGAATATAAAATTGTAAAGTTGCTTGTTTTTTAAATTTTCTAGAAAATAAATTCGAGAAAAAGTTAATACTTTTTGAGATGATAAGTGTACCTACTTAAATGGATCACCTGGTATGTATTATATATTAGTCTTTAAATAAAATACTTTTTACAAACAAACTTGAACATTTGATTGGTAATGAAACATATTTAGAGATTTTTGATTTACCTATCACAGATACTAATGTTTGGGTAATTTTCATCTATACAGTCCACTACGAATTTAATCATATTTATTTCGTATCAACTATTAGGTTACCATTTATTACATTGTTATTGTTACTATGGTAACGATTGCCAGTATGTTCATAAGTTCGTGTTCAATAAAAATTTACTAATTGTCAGTTAACTAAACAAAAACCATGTGTACTTTTTATTTATAAATTGTATGTATTTTAATTTGGAAACTGAATTAAAATGAAAGACACAATCTAGGTTCAAGTAAATTGAAAGTATGAACTTGATTCAAAAACAAGTTATTTAAATATAATGTTAACTTAGTTATTTTTCGATTAAAAATTGTAAACATTAATTGGATTCATTTATTCCTAAGTCTATGATATGTTGATTTACTAGTAAAGTACCTTTTATAATACACACACACACACAAATGAAAGAATAAAACGAGATTGTATATTATTTGTTTTTAAAATAAAACAATGCATATCAAAATTTCTAGGAAAATATTCTCTATTCAAAAGGAGGAGTTCCTATTTGAAAATCAAAAGAAGCATTTATTTAAAGGACATGGAGGGGTAACAAATTAACAACGGTTTTAAAATAAAGCTTAATCGATTCCATAAAAATTAGAAAAAACAGAAATCAAATTCACTTAAAATCCTCTGATATATTTGCTGTTTCATGATAAAAATAATAACTCTGCATATTGGTTTTATTTATATTACTCAGAATCGTTTTTCATTTGTAATTATTAAAACCACCAATATACCTACCCAAGATCTATCTGTAAATATATTCTTTATCTTTTTGAAAGCTCCTGGTACCTACATTTATGACCTTATAAAATAACTCTACTATAGGTAATAGCAAATGCAACAAATGATGCAAATAGCAATACTTGAATCAAGATTATTCGAATGAATAATAATTACTTTACTAGTATACGATTAACTAATAATAATAATAAAGCCACCAAAATTATTTTAGTTACTAATATATTGCTATTTTTAGGTACTGACTACTGGTTCTACTAGTAGGTATTGATTTTAAAATCAATGGTACAACCTATATTAAAACTATTTGGTATTGTACTTACTAGTACTAGTTTGGAGTTTTTATATCATAAAAAAGTACATTGTGAAGTGTTTGGTACAACAAAATTGTTGCATAAAGTTGCCTATCTGCCCCTAAAAAAAATGTACATTTTACGATTACATAACACTAGTTATTATTTACCTTCACAAAGTTCATATTGACATTAAACTAGTATTAAAAATTGAATATTAATTTATATTTAATTTTAATTTTAAATTAAATTATTACAAAAAGAAAATTTTAATACTAATTTAATTTATTATTAAAATGAAAACAAGAAAATGACGTAGATAAGTCAATTGTATGTTAAAATAGACCTCTCTATGAAAATACCTATAAGTTCTATCTAGGTCTGCCCATACGATATTCCAAATTCCAATATTTTTGACGATTGTAAATTCACTGATTCAAATCAGGAAGGCCAAAATAAGAGTGTAATTATATTTCTTTGTGGTCGTGTCAAATTAGTTGGGTTATCATCTATGCTTGTTATATGACACAGGTAGGGCATCATGTTTTATTATTCAACCAAGTTCGACATGGTAATTTGCGAGTTTACTTACGGGTAATTTGTAATACGATAATGTAATTTTAGTTTCATTTCGAAAATATGATTTTGTTGGTCCTGTAAAGGACCATTTTAGTTAATTACGCTAAAATTAAAATATAAATTCTGATAATAAATAATTAAGTAACAATAAAAAAATGTAAATAGTAGATGAAAATATTGATAGTTAGGTTGTCTTTTCTGCCTTTTGGGGCAGAAGTACGGATTGTATGTTGGGCAACACACCACCTTCAGCTACGGTGACACCAAACAACAGTTTGCTCAACTCTTCGTCGTTTCTAATGGCCAATTGAAAATGTCTGGGGGTGATGCGCGCCTTTTTGTTGTCACGAGCCGCGTTGCCGGCCAACTCCAATACTTCGGCGACCAGATATTCCATAACGGACGCCATGTAGACGCTTGCACCGGTACCGACACATTTGGCGTAGCCACCTTTCTTCAAAATACGATGGACACGAGCGACCGGGAACAATAGCCCGGCACGAGAAGATTTGGACTTGGCAACGCTGTCCTTCTTACTACTTCCTTTGTCGGTTTTTGTTATTTTCCCGCTCATTTTAGTATGTTTCTTGAGTTAAAATTTTTGAGACACGATCGATGAATCGAAAGCGGATATTACGACCTTTTATATTAAACGAGTTGCAACTAAATATCGTCATTGGTAAACCGTCGGATAACGATGGAATAAAACGACATTTATCACGTTTGGTGAGACAAAAGGGTTTCGTTTTGGATTTCAATAACATTATTGGTTTTACACTCATATGGAGATTAGGGATTAAATAAATCTCCACAGTTTTGTCGTATGATGTATTTTGATTTATCTGTTAAAAACGTTTCTACCAAAAATCTGATTTTAGACCCTGTATTTTTCCGTGTTCGATAAAATATAACCTCGAGATAACATAAACGTGTATCATTGGCTTTATTTGGAAACAAATGTATATCATTGGTTTAGATTTCTGATCGCAGGTAAACAAAAACCGATACTCTGATCGAGTGTTAGGTATTTCGATATTGTTCGTTACTTGTAATAATTGCATAGTCATTATTACTCTATAGCAAATACCTGTATCACAAGAAATAATTTTTATTAGAGGACTACACACTCATGTTGCAAATCCAGATGAAAATGAAGTCAAAAAATCAGTAACCCGAATACAAATTGTAGACATTTTTCAACTGGGTGTACAAATTATTAGAAGAACATTAGAAGATTGATGTATAAAAAGACAAATATTAGTAGATTAAACATTTTTTTAAAATAGATGTATTCAAAAATAGACATTACACCTGACCAACTATTAATTCTTAAACCACAAACATGCGTTTACCCAACCGCCATACATTTTTTAGTCAAACAGCTATCTTATATCAAGGCTTAAAATTATGTCAATCGTTAAATATTAATGTCAATAATTTTTGTAGTCTTAAGGCTTTCAAAAATCATATTAAGCGTTTTAATTTATCTATTATTCAATTTCTGTTTGCAACTTAACATTTGTACATAACCAAATAAAATTTTTCTTTTTATCTTTTAAATAATTACTTTTTATAATTAATTTTAAATTAATACTGATTAAATACTGATATATTCACCGGTTAAGAACTGCTCCCCCAGCACAAGCTTTGCTTATAGAGGGTGCTGCAACATTTAATCATAAGTTATTAAGATGCAAATTGCAAATACCTATGTTATTGTTGCAATATAATAATATTATTATTATTACTATTATTATTTGGATAGGCAACCACGGCGATTTTTGGAGGCACAATGTTATTGTATCGTAATAACTGTTTTGGCGTGAATGTCACGTATTGTTTTATCCTTAGCATCTTCCCGTTATGTGGCACCCTTAGATCATAATATACAATAATTGAATATGACCCAAGGTGTCACTGTCCGTTGTCACATAATTATTTAATATTTTAATAAACCTACTGTTTTTTTTTTATTTATTAAAAAAAAAAGAATATTTACAATCTATGCTACATGGCATAGTAAGTAAATTAGAGAATAAAAGATAATACAACAATGATTACATAAGAAAGGAGGGCGTCCAGTGATAGAATCCAACATTATTTTCCCAACTGTTTTTAGTAAAAACAAAATAATTCAACGATTTTATTTAAAATGTTTCATATGAAAAAACTAGATGTCGCTAGCATAATCAGTAAACGGTTTATTTTCGATCATAATTTTCAACGTTATCGAAATACGATAACCAAATGTATCAAACTTCAAAATCGTTATACAATTATTAAAATTAGTGCTTAGATGCATTAGAAACAATTATTTGCTTCTATATTTATCGGTAATAATTATTAATAATTGTATAATTGTAAGTGAAATTAAATTTATTTCCAAATTTTAGAACATGGTAATATGTTGGTACTATCCCGATTTGGTGGGCGTATATTATCTAAATATTAACAGGTTACTGTATGTATCATAATATGTATACACGTGTTAGATTTGTGATAGTAACGTAATGTTTAATTTACTTCTATAGTTCTATAATGTCTATTGAAGTAGTAGTGTTTACCGACGAATAACAATAGATAAACCATATTAATTAATGTTATTTAATTTATAACACTACTTATTAACAATTATAATAAAATACAATAATATTAACAATTTAATATTATGTAAGCAGTTTAACCAAATGGCATATTTTATATAAAACTTTGTTAATAATTCTATAAATGTTCTGTTAATATATACTAGTGAATGATCCATTTTTATTTAAGTATTTTTTTTATTGGTACATAAAAATATTATGTGTATATTATTAGTATGATATTATATTATAATAGATAAGTACTTAACTAAGTAATATTTTGACTTAATTATCTTAAGTTTAACATAGATATTTGATATTGTGTTAGATTTAGCAATAACCATGATTTATGAAAACTAAATTATTCTAATATAAAAAAAATATTTATGAAATATACGCATGTGCACATGTGTGATTTATGATTCGAAATAATGCATACCTAACTATACTTTCCAACAAACGCAAAAAACATGAATAATTGTTATACGTCACGGGTTAAAACCCTTTCAAGCACAATATATTAAGTTTTTTTGAAAAAAATTGTCTGTACTCATTTTTGGATTCTGTGGGGCTAAATTAAGAGAAAAAAAAAATGTTTTTGTGTAATTTTTGAATAACTTAATAAATTTTTCACACGTGACGCTTAAAATTATCTTTGGGAATTAGCGATAAACAAAACCGTCATTCATATTCACATGCTTATTATTTAAAATACTAGAATCAAAACGATTTATATTTAATTACGATTTATAATTAGACTTTTAAATCAGTTTTTATGACAAAATAATTATGTAAGAAACTTATTTGTTATGGTAACTTATTAAATATGTAAACATTTGTATTCACAAATTTCCCATAAAAGTTCATACTTTTTCCCAATTTGATTCAATCTTAACTTGTTCATCTGAAGTTCCCTTCTTCAATTTCCCTCTCATTCAACATAATTAAAATGTCTTCTATATAACCATTGTCCTCACCCAATAAATCATTTCTTATTGGATATGATTCCTATAATTATTATAATATTAATCAATCAATTTATAACTAAATAGAATATACAGAGACAGAAACTCACATTAACATTATTGGATAAATATGTATTGCTTATTTATTCCCAATGATCACCATAAAAATCATGGTGTTTATGATAATATATTATAAATACTATTTAAGTTTGCTCCATAATGATTCTTTCAATGGATGTAAGAATTAATTTTCAACGAGTTAATATTTTTATCAAATCGATTTTGTTAAAACAACTTAAAACATTATTTCAAATTTCGACTTTTTTAGATCGTGATTATTAGTTTTAGGCAAAAAGAAAAAACAATTTATTATCATTCTTTCATAAAGATAACAAAAACAGTGTTCCCATTTTAACGAAGAAAAAATGTCTTATTTATTAATGGGGGTTATAGTCATCATTGGGAAAATAAAGGCTGTTTTTATGTGTTTGAAATAATATATGATTCCAAAAATTATCAAGCCTAATTAGCAAATTAGCCAACTTAACGTACGCAGCACAACCTGTAATCGTTTAATCGTGCTACTCATTTCGGGACGTTATCAGAAGTGGAGTTTGGTGGTTTGCAGTTTGTCTCCTTAGTCCTTATTCTAGTCGGCATGGTTATAAAATCTTTGTGTACCGTGTTAAAAAAAAAATTCAGGAAATCCGAGGAACTTTAGGTTGACTAGCAGGAAAAACGAGGATTTTTGGGTGTTATAGTAAATTTTCAAGAATTTTTACCTGGCGACACTGTCCTTATTCTAGACCATATGGTCATAAGAACTTCGTATAACACTGTTACGTGTATCACAATAATTAATACTGAGTCATGATGCGAGTAACTAATACTTTATAACATAAAATTAATAATCAAATATTCTGGTCACCAGTTTGAGATCTGAAACTCAAAGTAAGTACTTAGCTAATTATGACATATATAGATTGTATTATTCTACAAAAGTTTCTTCTCCTTCGCTTTCATCCCAAATATATGTAATCGCCACCCCCGTTCTAAATTTCCAATTGAAATGAACTCCCACCTCGTAACACCAGCTAATCTAATATAATTCTCAATCGCATCCTACCACTTCTTTTCCAGCTCATAGCTCCTACGTTTATTTGCATTACAATTCTTACTGCTTCATATTGTCTATTATCAATGCCACGCCTACGCTACCTATTATGTTCTCATCTCTTAATATCCTATCTACTCTAGTTACTCCACTCTTTACCTAACCATTCTCATTTCTGCTACATTCATGCCTTGTTTTATTTTTCTGTCTACTACCCAACACTCTAAACTATACAGCATAGTCACTCTCACCATATTTTTGTAGAACTTAACTTTAAGACTCATTGAAATTTTCTTGTCACCTCTCTTACACATTAAAAATGTTATTTACTAATTTGCATAGAGTTATTTAAAATTTAAAACAATTAATTGCTTACTAATTTGGTTTTTATAAAAATTTTCTTTATAACTAATTATGAAAAACAACACTAACAAAATGTACTGTTTTATATTTAGATTTTCAATTTAAACTATACAACAAACAATTGAAATGGATGAATTGGCAAGTTCATATCACAACTATGACGAACTCTTAAATTATTTGATAGATACTAAAATGATAAAGACCATAAACGAAGAAAAAGTTTTAAGATCTGTTGATTGTAGATATTATTTCAACATTGAAAGAAATCAAAACCAATTGGAATCAACCGGATGGTTAAAAATTTGGGAAAACGTATTCTTTACTGTTAAATCTCTAAATAATTTACAGCTAAGTTCTGGACACAAATTTTTAAACATCGGATCTGGAATTGGTTATTTCAGTACATTGGCTGGTCTATTGATAGGTAATATTGAAACTTTACAATTATGTATTTAAGTATGTAAAATCTTCAAATTGGTTTTCTTTTTTACCAGACGAATTAATATTAAAATTCAATCTTATTGGATTTTTTCTCATTAAGTGATATCATAGTTTGATTTTATCTATTTAGGTAAAAATGGTGTTAATCATGGAATTGAAGTTAATGAAAGATTCATAGATTTGGCACGGGAAAAGTTAGCGGAATTTAATTTGAATTCTGCTGCAATAGATCATTATGACTTTTGTGAACCAATTTTTATCCATGGTATATTGAATACATGTAAAAAGAATGTTTTAAAAAAATAATGTTTTTATAAATTATTAATATAGGAAATGCTTGTGAATTATTATCAGCGGGTTACTATGATAGGGTTTATTGTGAAGCTCTTGTACCACATGACAAATTGGAATTTATGAAATCTCTTATTAAGGTTTTTATTTTCTATTAAGTACATTAAAAAAAAAAAAAAAACATATATAAAATTATTTTGCCTATTTTTAGATTAATGGAATATTAGTTATGCCATTCGATGGGTTTCTGTGGAAATTAATTAGACAAAATGAGTATCAGTACAATGTTGAAAGAATAAATGATTTATTTACAGATGCATTTTCAGATCTCATAGTACGTGAACCTTGTTGTTTAACAACCGTGACTTTTCGTAAGTTGAAAATTAAAATGTTTTAAATTTTGATTTTATTTAAAAATTTTACTATTTTGCAGCTCCTGTTAAACCGTTAACTTTGCAAGAGTTGTGTAGAAATACAATTCGTTCATCAATACGCCAAAACTTGCAAAAAGAAAGGCCTGAATTGGAAATACGCACTAAGTGCATCAATTTAAATAGTGAACAACAACTAGTTTGTGAAGAAGATAAAGCTAAAATAAAGTCTGCTTTTGATGTAAATTTCATTGTAGATTATATATCATTATTAAGAATAATGCAAGGAATTAACATTCACTCTACTGCTGGTACATCACGCATTTATACACGCGCTTTTGGTTGTTTAGTGGAAAAAAATGGTATGATTAAATTATTGGTGTTAAATAATAATTATAGTACTAGCTGAGTATCTTTTATACTTTGATTGTTTGGCAATTTAGATAAAAGTGGAAATGACACCGAAGCTAAGAAAGAAAATGATAGTGGAGCTCCCCATGACACAACAACTTATCATTTCATAAAAGACTACAGAGTCAACAAGTTAAGTAGATGTTTAAAAGAAAAAATATACTCGTTATCATTACCGACTCAGCTGAAAGATTTCCTGAACTACAACCGGATCGATTAACTAGTTATTATTTAAAAAAATAATACTACTTACGTACATCATATGTATGGTGACCAGATATAAAAATCCAAAAAAAAGTACATTTTAAAATTTAGGTCCTCCCTTGTAAAATACCGCTCCCTTGAAAGAATTGGCTAATGTTACTCTATTAATATTTTTTCTATTACCAAATATAAAATCTAATTATTAATTTGAATCATAGTGTCAACTGTTTCGTTTCTGTCTTTATGGTGAAAATACTTTAAAATTGAAGTAATTTTAAGTGTAGAACTAAAATATACATATTTAAATTAAATTGTAAAGATAAATATAAATACAAAACTATTAATAACTATTAATATATGTTTCCTACATATTTATTATTTATAATTTTCAAAAAAAAAGAGTACAATTTCATGTACTTAAAACTATTGTTAAGGACAATTAACCTATCAATAAAGAGTATGTCTGGTCACCATAGCCATGTGATTGTTTATGAAAAAAAATCTTGTTAGCAATATAATTTTTTGTTNGTAATGCAAATATGGTTATAATATCTATATAGTTCATTTTGTTAAACTTTTACAATTTTTTCTTAATATTAAGAAGTAATAATAATAAGTAGTAATATAATTTGTTTGTTTATATTCATTTATTTGAATCCAAATTATATTTACTATTATGCCCACAAAAGACAATGTGTGATGCAAATATGGTTATAATATCTATATAGTTCATTTTGTTAAACTTTTACAATTTTTTCTTAAGGTATAAATGCACTTTAATTTGTATAAATATGAATGAATCATCGATAAAATGAAATGTACAAAAAATAATTTTGTATTTACTGGTTTGATAAAACCACAATCTATTGTAATAGCATTAGTTGAATTTAATATTAGTTTAGCCTAAACTATACTTTTATATATATATATATATATATTGTTATTTGATTGATCAAATTTTTAGAAGTATAAATAATATAATTAATCAATTAAACAATATTAGATTATAACTGTCTTATTCATAAATTTGCATGCATACTTTAATCATATAAAAAATCTTGTAAGTAATATAATTTGTTTGTTTATATTAATTTATTTGAATCCAAAGTATATTTACTATTATGCCCACAAAAGATAATGTGTGATGCAAATATGGTTATAATATCTATATAGTTCATTTTGTTNAACTTTTACAATTTTTTCTTAAGGTATAAATGCACTTTAATTTGTATAAATATCAATGAATCATCGATAAAATGAAATTTACAAAAAATAATTTTGTATTTATTGGTTTGATAAAACCAAAATCTATTGTAATAGCATTAGTTGATTTTAATATTAGTTTAGCCTAAATTATACTCATATATATATATATACATATATCGTAGTTTGATTGACCAAATTTAAGAATTATAAATAATATAGTTAATCAATTAAACAATATTAGTATCATTTTTACTTAACCTTTAAAGAGCAAATGATTTTGACTTTATCAGACTTTGGTGGTTTAATTATCAAAGTGTATCGCAGCTAATATTATGACGAAGATTAGAAACATAATATTATACATTATTTATTTGATACAAAATTTCCCAGATGCTATAGGCATATGGGTACAATATTATAAAAAAACACAAATATATAATTTTGTTTTACATAAATACCAATCGGCTTTTGAAAATGATACATAACAATGTAATTTTTATTAATGTAATTATACATTATATTAATAATTATGTTTTATAATGTAATTATCATGTTGTGCCTATACGAGTTGTTTTATTTGTTCGGTAGTGTGAGGATCCAATTTTTAGGAGAAAGTGGTAGCTCGACTGACTGTGTGGCTCTCTCACGGGTGCCACTATGGCTACTATGGCACTATGGCAGAGCCGCCTACACACTAGGCGTTATCGATAGACTACAATAATATACTCTTATACTCTAATACAAAGGGCTTATACTACTATACTAAATACTATAGTTATATGCTTATAACAATCAAATCAACAATGTTTTGTTAAAAAAGCAACTATCACATTTCATATCATTATACCTTGTACACAAAGTATACATAAGTTGAATTTGGTAAACAGAATAATAATAATTGTATTGTTTTGAATATGATCTCTAAAACAGTAATTGACATTACTATACAATTATATAATATAAGTAATTGAAATCAGTATTATTTTATGGGTACCTATATACAAGTACAGTTCACAATTTATTTATTTTTAATCCATACTACGTTTAGGTAGATACCTACAATGTTGTTCTATAAGAACACGTTTATTTGGTAATATACAATTATTTATTTTATAAAGTTTTTACAGGTGGCTGATTTCTACTTTGGCTGAAGGTTCTACATAACATTGATGATTTGTACATAAAGTATTTCATTAGAATCCGGGGACGAGGCAAATAAACGTTTCTTCGGTCAAAAAATCATGTTACATACAAATTAATAATTATTAGTTTTAAATATAAAATTTATCTTACATGCACAATATAATACGATATACGTATATTATTTTATGAAATTCAACTAAAATTTGACAAAATAACAATAGCTATACAAAATATAGCTATAGAATTAACATATTTTAATAACTAATCACAATAATAATAAACACATTACTGTTACATAAAATATTGGCCAAGTA